TGATGACCATGGCGGAGGGGAAGTATTCCCACCTGCTATGTGTTGTCAGGGGTTCCCGCAGGAGCTCGGGGACGTCGAAATCCTCGGGCCTGGTTACCGAGAACGCGGTCTGGATTGGCGCCAACTTGTCAGATGGTCGGGCATCTTCTTCGGTCTCTTTAGCCTCATGGGCGTCACGACGGGGAGCATCGTTTCGCCTGTACTGTGCGAGCCTCCCTCCCTTGATGAGGGTTTCAATGGCGTCCTTGAGGTGGACGCAGTCCTCTGTCAAATGGCCATGACTCCTATGGTATTGACAATACTTATTTTTGTCTACCCCTGGCTTGGCAGGAGCTGGCCGGGGACGTTTGACGCCATCGTCTTTAAAATCAGTGCTAGCACACTCCGCCAGAATACGCTCGCGGGAAGCCGTGAGCGGAGTGTACTCGGTGAAACGGCCCGAGGGGCCCCTTTGTTCCCGGATCTCCCGGGGTCGATCTTCCTTCCTCTTCTCTCCGGTACGTCGGGGAGGAGGGTCTTGTCTCGAGCTGCTGCTATGATTACGAGCCCTGGAGTCTCGTGCCCTGTTGGCAGCTTCTCTCTCCTCGTAGTCCATGTATGCTCGGGCTTTGTCGAGGAGAGCATCGAAAGTTGCAGGTGGCTCAATACCCACAGCTTTTCTGAATTCTGTGCCGGGGAGGAGGCCCCTCTCTAGCAAATATCTTTTCATATGGTCCGCGCAGGGGACCTGTATTGCTTCCCGGTTGAAGCGGTTGATGAATTCCCTCAAGGTTTCATCCTGTCTTTGGATGATGGCCTCGAGGGCCGCCTCGGTCTTCGGGTGGCGCCGAGAAGCAGTGAAGGAACTGATGAACTGGTTCTTCAGGTTCCGCCACGAGGTAATGGAGCCCGGGGCGAGTCCTTTGTACCAGTCCATGGCCGCCTTCCTGAGAGTTGTGGGGAAGAGACGGCACTTGATGGGCCCCCCGACATTATGATAGTGGAGCATAGCTTCGAACCCGTCAATGTGGTCGACTGGGTCCGCTACTCCATCATACTCCTTCAGATGTGGGGGCTTCTCCATGCCCGGGGGGATAGGTGCATCCATGATGGCCTGCGACAGGGGACCGCGGGGGTCGTCCTCGTCGCTCCTCTCCGGAGAAAGAGAAGGGGTCCTGTAGTTATGCCTGGCACGATGGTCGTGCTGAGATTCTCTCGAGCGAGATGCTCGGTGGTTGAAGGTCACATGCCCATCTCTGGCGTGCCTCCTGTCGTGCCTTGTTGGGTCGCGACTGGGTTCCTCGGCCGGAATAACGGGCTGTCTCTCATAGTTGGGCCGCCTCTGCCTTGGTTGGGGAGAGGGGCTCCTGGAGTTCTCCCTGTAGTGTCTCCGCGGGGGAGAAGGGTGTCGAACTACTTCGACCCGAGGAGGTGGAGAAGGTGGCCTCTGATGCCTCCTCGGGGGTCGTCGATTGTCTTCAAGTGCCCTCAGTCTTTCTCCTTGGGCGAATATGAGACGATTTGTCTGGTTGATGGCCGCAAACAGTGCCTGAGTAGTGGCATCTGCCCCGGCAGGAACTGGGACTTCATAGAACCGGGCAGCTCTGTGATGGGCGAGAGCTACCGGGTCGTCCTCGAGAGCTGGAGGGGTCGTCGAGGATGATGCAGTCGCCCCGTCCCTGTAAGTGGAAGGTCCAGGGGCGGTGGTTACAGGGATGGCAATGTGGCCGGGATCACCGGGATTATCGAGGTGTCCATTCTTGTCCGCGGGACCTTTATTAGTGTCGGTGACACGGACGTGCTGCTCTTCGCGAGTTGGATCAGCCATGACAGGTAATTGGATTGAACTTTGGTCTTTGGAATTGTTCGTTAGACGGGGAAGCTGTTTCCCACAGACGGCGCCACTGATCTGACCTGATCAGAAGGTTTGGACCGTCACGGCTGGCTCCGAGCAGAAAGCTTTTTTTGACGAGGTGGGGGGGTACCTGCAAGACACTCCGATGCTGAAGTAAGTAGGAGTACGAGCAGATAATAGAAGTTGAGGTTAGAATGATCAATATCTGACCCTCTGGAAACAGAGGGTATTTATAGCCCCCAGCGCTGGGCCAAGGTTCCTCCATTGGGCCGTGCGGATTTGGCCCAATGGAGGAACTGCCAGGTTTTACGTGGGTAGTGGGGACCCGCACGTGGTCCCCTTCCTGGATGTTCTGCGTGAAGTGCGGGCGGACGAAGACGCGGTCTTTCCGGAGTATCGTAGGGGGAACGGTGGACTGAGTCTGCCCTAGCTGGGTTGCTCGAGCCCACGTCGAGCTGGACAGCAGGGTGTCGAGCTGGACGTTAGGACATGGAGCTGGACGACAGGATGTCGAGCTGGACAGTAGGGTGTCGAGCTGGACGTCATCACGTGGAGTTGAACAGCGGATGTCGAGCTGGACATCAGGATGTCGGACACGGATGTGACTCCTTTGCTCGGCGTGGTCCCTAGTAAGTCCCTTTGGACTGGGCCTTAGCAATGCCTTTGGGCCTGTCGGGCCCAGTCCAGAACAGAACCCATAGCTAAGAATGGTGAAAATCTCGGTGAAGAATAAATCCCTACTCATATGATAGATTTAGGTCTTTTCAATTTACCATCTTCACACCTTTTATTTTCTTGTACTTTAATTTCTCTTTGCACTCCCCTTATGTACTTCCTCTTCGCATTTCCATTATGAAGTTTTCAATAATATAATTATGATTTTCCCTTCATGACTTTAGAACCTTTATTTACATAAAGCTAAAAAATGTTTATATATTATCTTGTTTTGCACAATTAAAATAAATACTTTTTATGAAATAAATACTCTTTACAAAAATAATAAGTATATGATGCATGATGCCTATGATTAATAATATCTTATTAAGTCTCTTATTAAAAGCATGATATTCTTTGTAGCTATAAATAAAAATGCAATATGGTGTTTTGATTTCCTCTCTAAATAAATGATTGACATATCTTAAATAAATGTTTATGCATATATGATGTGCTTAATCTCTGTGGTATTTTAAAAAATCCCTATACTTGTTTGATTTTGACACTATATTTACACACTCTAACAAATCATACAAATTTATATGATGTATTAATACTATACTTGCATACCCTAAAATTCATATGATGTTTAACCATATTTTTATATTTATTTCATCTCTTACCCCTCTTTTTGATTATGACAAAGGGGGAGAAGTATACTTTTAGGGGGATATATGTTCTATCTAATTCAGGGAAAATATTATCACTTCAAAATATATTATTTTGTTTCTTTAACCATCTTTCCTGAGAGATGCATTGTCATCATCAAAAATGGGGAGAATGTGGAACCTAGGTTTTTCTTTTGATGATGAAAACGACAAAGTAAAAATACTAAGAAGACTTCATCGTGATAAGAATATAACAAAGGATAAGTCAAAGAGAACTTAAGTGGTTAAAGATGCAAATCATGAATGTAAAGGTTTGACGAACCTTACTAACAAAAGAAGAAGGCAAACCAAGAGAAATTATCTAAAACCTCAAGAGATCTCAAGCAGTATCAACACAAAAGATGATATTTGTCAAAAAGCTTGTAGAAGGAGTTAAACTCCTATTTTAGTAAGTGAGTGTGCAAAAGCAAATGGCTTTTTCGTAAAAGTATATGGATATAGGTACACATAAATTGTCGTAACCGACAAAAAATATGAGAGTCGTCACCACTACTTTTTGTCCTAAGGACGAGAAAGGAACAAAAAATCCTAATTATTTAGAGATTATTGGATTCGCGAGTTAATTAGATAAAAAGAAGATGTTAGACACCCTTTACCTCCTTTGTATTCAAGGGGATCCTTTTTAGACGTAAGACTAATGGGGACTATTTCATTATTTTAATCATGGAATTATCATATATGAGAAGAAGGAACATAAAAAATTAAGTTTTTTAGTTAGTGGACTCACCTTAGTTTTTCAACCGTGTGCCTATGTATCTTCTTAAGAAGAAACTAGAGTCCTTCATAGTTCGAAGTGTTTGGTTAGTGTTTTTTATAGGATTGTGTTAAGTTTCTTTCGAATGATTTTGAACTTGTCTGAGTTTGAAAGTTGAGTGATGGTAGGCGAAGTTTTGTATTCATTGTGAAAGTGACTTGACAATCCTTTATTGAAAACATCTTGAATTTCATTATGTTAGCAGAAAAAAAGTTTTTTGTTGGTTAGCTGTTTTAAGTTTGATTGATTGATAAAGAGTTTATCTTTATTCGAATCAAATCGCACAGGGCGAAGAAATTAATTTTTATAAGAAGTGAGTCCTTATTAGAATTAAATCGCGTAGAGCAAAGAAATTGATTTGATTTATTTAGTGAGTTTTAATTGTTTGATTTTGAATAATTAATTAATAAGGTGTTAAATCGATCTACTAATTACTCGAGAATGTGAAATTTTTTTATTTGCAAAAATATTAAAATCAATTTGGTTAAAAAAGGTTTGATTTTATGCAAGGTTAGCCATTATGTATAGGAGATGGAGATATAATTAATCGGGAGAGCTCTAAAATTGAGGTTAACCTATAATTAATCTAAAAACCTAACAAGTAAATTAATCCTAATTGTTTAACCTAAAACAATCAAATAAATCTCTTTGTACTTTTTCGTACTATAAAAATAAACTAGATTAAATTATTTAATAAATTAATTAGATAAATTACTTTAATTAAAAACATCACCTAAGAATTAAATTAGCCAAATTAAAATAAGTGATCAATGAGTATAGCAAGAAAGGTGGAAGTGTGAATAATAAAATGTCTAAGCCAAATCCACATGAGTTAGTAAAAACCCTAAAAAACTCTTAACTATAATAAAGAAAATAATAATTAATTAATTAATTAATTAATTAATTAATTAAAAAAACAAAAGGGAGAACACGTCAGTATGTGGTGTCACCCCATTCTTGTTTCTCATTCAAAAGGGAGGCGCTAGAAGGAGGACGACCGAAGATGGTTGTACGGTGGTAGACGGAGGGGATGACGACGAGGTTTGGTGGAACGGCGGCGCTGAGTTTCAGAGCATGGGCGGTGGTCTTCGGTGGAGCTTCGTTTCGTGATACAGATGGAAGCACGTCGACGTTTGGGGCGGTGATGTCTGCTGTTCGTGGGGATGCAACCAGTCCTTGTGCGGCTTACGATGGTGGTTGTCAGCTCGAAGTTATGTGTGAGGAGGAGGATCGTCGAAGTCGTTGGTTGAGGTTGTCCCGCGTGTGGAGGTTCAGTGTTGTTGTTGATGCGGTGCGGTGGTGGAACGGCTTGGACGGCGGAGTGTTCACGGTGTTGTTCTGATTGGGGTTGCGCGTTGAAGTCGCAGGGATCTCAATGGAGCCGTCACCAGCAGTTCCTCGAAGTCGCGTACAGCGATTGCTATACGGGTGTATCGATAAAAGGATACTCTGTAGTTTCCAATTTCTCTATTGTTATGGATGCTTGACACTTAATTTTATTAATTTTATTGTTTGTTGCGTCACAAGATTTGAAAGGTTTGTGAGGTTTAGTGTTACTGCCTTTTGTCATGAAACATAGAGGTAATGGTTATGAGATCAAAAGTTAATTAAAAAAAATATCAGTGACCATTAGTAAAATAAATTGCTATATGAAAAAAAAGTGGTCTAACTATAAAATGTAGACAAGGTTTTCGACTCTTTTGACTCAAAGGTTTTGTAATAAAGGTTTTAATTTTGTGTCTAAAAATAACAAAACTAACACAAAGGTTTTGAGATTTTTTTTTTTTTGAAATAATCATGTATTAAAAAAAAAATTCACAAATGACCATGTTTCGGAAAAAATTACGCAAATAACTATGTTTCAGATGATTCTCCAAAGGAGAAGTCATCTCACTTGGCGTCTCCATTAAGCATTTAGCCCTAGGCGCCATCTCACTTGGCGCCTCCTCTCTCTTTTAGCCAAATGAGATGGCGCATGCACTACAAAAGTGAGAGGAGGCGCCATCTCACTTGACTCATAGGGCAAAATGTTGTTTTTTATAAATAATTTGTCCGTTTCTCCGTCATTTCTCACACTTTCTCGCACTATTTTCTTAGTTTTTACTCTGCTATTTGCGTCATGACATCGCCCATGATTTTTACCAGAGATGGTTATGTTATCTTCTCCGCCACAAAATCTGCGATGAAAATGAAATTTTGGCACATTCACTCCATGGAGCGCCTGAAGCGGGAGTTGATGCGATGGCTAGATGGAGACATCGTGGAGGGAAAAAATTCGAAGGATCCAGCGAAGACGAACAGCAACCTCACATGCGACAGGAAGACCTAATGTTTGGTTGGAGGAAGTCAAAATAGACAGCGACGTAATGTTGATGATGCATGGGTCAGATGATATTGTTTTAACAGATGTAATTTCGTAGACGAAATATCGTGTTTTTTTCTTGTACGCGTAATGTTTATTGTAGCAAATATTGTTAACGAAAAACCCTAATGTTTACAACATAATTAAGGAAAGATTTTATATAATACAATTTTTATGTGGTCGAGGCAGTAGCCCGATTCGGATAATTTTTGTGATTGTGTCCGACCTGACGACATAAACCACACTTTCTTTTCAGCTTGTCAAGGGAGTCCATTTCGGTTGTGATGCGCTTATTTTTGGGACGACCCTTTTTGTTCCTTCGCATTTGGTCATTGTGCCATACTATTTCACCGTCGTATGCAGGCCAATAATTTGGTTTTGCTACCAAAGGGAAGCTATTGTTGTAAACATTGAGCAACATTTCAGATTTGTAAATGTGTGACAGAAGTTGTAGCGCGTCTTGATGAGTATAGGCACACGCGGCAATGACATGAGAGCAAGGCATACGAAAGGCTTGAAACTTGCCACAATCGCACCAACGAGAAGGTAGTACAACCCTATATTCTTGTCTTGGCAGGCCCTCGTTGTGGTCGATTGTCTCTTTCACAATGAAGTTGTGGCTGTGTCAATCAAACCGTATAACCATATGGGTGCTGGCTTTGGCACTTTCTGCCTTAATGTACTTCATGCAGCTTTCACTCCATAGTTGTCTAGATTGCAACACCGCATTCCACATTTCACCTCTTTTGGAAAACAATGAAGCCATCCTAAAATACATAGATTTTACCAAAGCAGTGACTGGGAGGTTTCGTATGCCTTTGAATACCTCATTCATCGATTCAATTAGATTTATTGTCATGTCCCCCATCTTTGGCCATTGTCGTATGACCTAGTCCATTTTTCTACTAGAATATTGTCGATCCACCTACCGGCTTCCGAATTTGACAAACGGATCTTGTTGCGGTAATATTTGAATGTGGGTTGTGTCAATGCATATCCCGCATTCATAACCGCTTTCCTTAGTGTTTTGTCTTTGATCTCCCTCGTGAAATTTTGGACGATATGTCTAACGCAATAGACATGCGTAGAAGGAGGGTCATGCCAACCGTTTGCAGGATTATTGTATGCACTTTCAATGGATGCATGTCTATTCGAGATCAAACAGAGATCTGGTTGAGGAGCCACGTGTGTTCGCAGATTTTTCATAAAAAAGCTCCAAGCACCACCAGTCTCCCCCTCGACTAGGGCAAAGGCAATTGGGAAAATGTTGTTGTTGCCATCTTGTGCAACTGCCATCAGTAGCGTGCCTTTGTATTTCCCACACAACCAAGTCCCATCAATTTGTATAATTGGTTTGCATGATGCAAACCCTGTGATGCAAGGTTGAAATGCCCAAAACACTCGATTGAATATTCCATTTCCGTTCAGTTGACTACCATCTGGGGCGTATGCTGGCACTGTTTCCAGAATGTAAACACTACCCGGAGAATAAGTCTGGGGTGTATTCAGGTAGCGAGGAAGTTCTTGGTATGACTCCTCCCAGTTTTCGTATACCTTTTCAATTGCCTTGATATTTGCTAACCACGCCTTACGGTAAGACGGAGTATAATTAAAAATCGTAGTGATGTGGGAGATGATGGTTTTCACCTTCAAAGATGGATCGTTGCTGACGAGTGGTAGGATTTCTTGACAAATGAGATCATAATTAAGTTTTCGATGATCATGTGATTGAGTAGAATTGACACAAGTGTGGGTAGACATGGAACCTATGATCCAACAATCACCTCTTAATTTGTATGATGCGGTGAGCTTGAACATACAATCAGGGTGGACACACTTGATCTTGTACCTTTCTGGGTTTACACGGTCCACCTTAAAATCGACTGAGTTGAGCATGTGGAATTTTTTTATGGCTCTGATACATTCTTCTTTGTTACGAAACTTGTCTTTCTCTTTTAAGTTTTCATCCGACTACATATACGGATTGAAAAATAAATCAGAAGACGGTTCATCTCCGTCCATGTTGAAGTTTGTCATGTGCGGAGGTGGTGTGTAGATCTCGTTTGCAGGAATACCAGGTATCCCATCGTATTCGGAATCATCATTGACCATTTCATCAAACTCTAACTCTTCATCTTCTTCTTCATCAACTGCATCTACCTCTGCTTGTTCGGTCTCCAAAGGATCAATCACTTATGTCACCTGAGGCTCTCGCAGCATAATGTACAACTTAATAGAGTCGTACTCGGAATACTCATGACTGGAAAACATATTCTGAAGATCCTCGTCATTTTGAACCTCAACCTTATAAAATATTATTTGGTTGTTACCAAAAAAAACTGGATTCTGATAAAATATTTGTGTCATCGGGCCTCGTCCAAGTTTGGCCTCCAATCATTTTTTGAAGTACAAGAAATTGGCTTTCCTGTTTAAATAAAATCAGATGTTGTCTGTGTCTCTAAAAAAAACCCAAAGGTGGGACAAATGTATGTCTCACCATTGAAATGTGCATTGATGACATATTGGGGTGCAGAGGCCATTGCGTATGATTGTTTGAAGGTTTGAAGGTTGGAAGGTTTGAAGTTTATGAGTTATTTGAAGGTTTGATTGTTTGAAGGTTTGATTGTTTGAAGGTTTGAAGGTTGGAAGATTTGAAGGTTTGATTATTTGAGGGTTTGAAGGTTGGAAGGTTTGAGAGATTAAGTGAATCAGTGTTTTGATAAATGTAAGACTAAATAGGTCATACTGAATTTGAATTAACTAAGATTGTAACCTCTAAGGCTCCTCCCATCACGTCCAATAGTGTTACCTAGGTTGTCACCTAGCTTGCGCCTACTCTGCAACCCATGCCACCTCTTATTCACCAATGGGGATGGCGACACCTTTCATTTTTGTACTCTTTCTCCAAGTCCGATGGCGCCTCCCTTCATGTCCAATCGTGTTACATGCATGCAGAGATGCCTTCTTCAAGGATGCCACCTAGCCTGCGCCTACACTGTAAGAGTGACACTTATCATGCATGTATGCACCAGCTACCACCTCACTTACTCTATGAAATTTTTTTGCCTATAAATACAGAGCATAACATACTTCTCTCGCACCCACAATCGTCTCACTCTCTGCTACAAACTCTTTCATAATCTCTTACAATTTCTAAGTTTTTCATAATCTCAAGCATTTTCAACAATGGCTCTTCTCACAATGGGCGATTCTCACAGAGGCACAAAGGACAACATTGCAGCATTTGTAAGTTTCTTTTATAGTTATACATTTTTCATACTTCTGGTAATGCTTTGTTCATCTTACTTAATCTTACACCTTTTACATTATTAACTCAGGATACCAAAAGATTCAGAATCCGATCTCACAACTACCTTGCTCCCGACCCATTTATCGTACCATATCTAGAATAAGCAGGTTTTGGACATGTTATAAAGATCTCCAACTGCACAATTGATTCAAAGTTCATACTTGCAATGTTAGAAAGGTGGAGACCAGAGACCCATACATTTCACCTACCAATAGGTGAATGTACCGTCACGCTAGAGGACGTGTACATGTTACTGGGTCTCCCTGTCGATGGTAAGGCTGTTAACGGGTCAGTTCAATAACCCAATTCTCTGTGTGAAGAAATGTTGGGCAGGGATATGGTTGAAGGTGGTGGTGCGAGAGGTCAGGGTATACTACTAACTGAGCTTAAAACTCATTATGCGACTTTGGAATTAAACGAAAATTCCTCCGAGAAAGACAAGGTAATAAAAGCTAGAACTTATCTAATGATACTATTTGGAACCTTTTTATTTCCTGAAAGTACGGGAAATAGTGTAAATTTTATGTATTTAAATTTACTTAGAGACTTCGAAAAAACTAGAAAGTATAGTTGGGGTTCTGCTGTTTTAGACCACCTATACAGTTCCTTGTGTAAAAATGCAATCAAGGAAAAATGTATATTTTATGGCTGCGCTTTTTTACTTCAAGCC